CCCCCCCCGCTCTCCCTTCCCGCCGCCCGTGCCATTGTCATCTCTAGTTTAACCGATAAGCACTCACGTCGGGTCAATTTGATTTTTCCTCGTCTTTTGCTTCTCCTCCTTTTCATATGTACACACATACACAACACACATATATATATATAGGAGAATGAAACTGACTGACGCGGTCTGCTGTCTCACTCTGCGTATAAAGTAAAGGTGTAAAAAAGCTTTGCATTGTATTATGTTATTGAATGTATCGTGTACTTTTTGTACATGCGAATTCTGCGCATCACAATTTTGCAATGCAATGTCATCCTTAATTTTAATCAGTTTCGCAATCATATTTCTTAGGCGGTTCGTGTAAATTGTTCAATCGGTATAAAATAAGCGCGTATCCGTGAGTGAAAGAAAAGTGATGAAATATTCGTGAAGTGTGTTTGCATCGCAGATTTCGAGTCTCGTGGCATCACCTTCCCCGAACATCAGACTGGCTCTTATGTAATTTAATGACGGAATGACGGAACGTGAAAATGACATTTTGTCAATTTGCCGGAAGGACCAATGTTCCCAATAGTTACAAATTGTTCTTGTCACAAATCAAGCAAGTGTCGCGTGTAATGATGCGCACGTAGCGCGCATTGTGTGCTATCGCACGCATATAGAAAAATGAAATCGATTCACGCAGTCCGGCGTGTTTACGCCGCTCGTAGAATTACAAAAGCTGACAGAAAAGAAATTGAATAAAAGCATAGCGATCAGTGACAAAAAGCCAACAATAAATCAAAAACCGTTAGTAACCAAAAAGAAAACAGGAGAAAATTGAAAATACAAGAGGAGCTCGCATCGTATTTCTTTCTTAGTTATTATAACTTCTTGCTTACGACTTATTTAACATTCCTCTCATACAGCTGATAAGTTACGTGCGGTCGAAAAGAAATCGACCTGAAATAGGCACCCCGATACTCCTTGTGCTCTCTGATCAATGTTAATATAATTCTTGCGCCACTCGCGTGAATTATTTAATCGTAATTGACAAACAAGCCAGCCATAAGAAGCCAAACAGCGGGCGTCAGCGCGTAATATCAATCAAATCTCTCGAGAGCACCAAGTCGGCCCGAGTGTGCGCGATCTCGTCTCGCTGAACTTCTGCATTTTCCCTTGGCAATTTTCCCTTGCCCCCTAATAACGAGAACTCTCTCTCTCGTATACCGACTCGTATACCGAGTGTCGCGCGAGCCGGGTGGGGACCACCGGCGGGCTTTGTCCGTCGGTTCTTTCACGGGTGCCTTTCAACCTTCGAGAGCGTAAGAAATGCGCGCGCACTCTCGTGCCCGCATCCACACGACTTCCGGGCTTTCGGGTTAAATTAGACGGAAAAACCGGCATTTCCATCCTCCCATCCGCTCGAGGGTGTCCACCGGTCGGCCTGTCGCGGTCGAAAAGGAATTAAAGGAATAAAAGATTCTGCGATTAGACAGGGAACGCGAAATCGACGTTCTCTCTTTCGCTAAGGCTGGATTTACGCCATCCGTGTGGACGATGAAGCGGGCGAAGCCTCCCCGTCAATCGTCGAATCCGTCGGCAATATTTCTCAATGCTTAAAATAGCTCTCGATAAACTCTGATTTCAAAATGAATCGATGAATAATAATAAGAATTGCCGATACCAATTTTCTGCTCCGCAACGTGCAGTGTTCTACGAAATAATCGAGAAGTTAATCACTTTTGTCTGTGTTAGCTAGATAGAGCAGGTAACGCTTGACTGACAGCAATTTTAAGTTATCAGTTAATTCAATCGGAGATCGGTGAAAATTACCCTTAAGGTAGTTGACTGTCCGTAGAACGCCAGATTTTTAATAGCGATATCAACGAGTTATAAGTTTATTATTTATTGAAAATACCAAATACATTCTTATAATTTTACTTAATTATCTAAGTGATCAGTTTTAATTTTAAGCGCGAAATTAAGATAAATTAAGATATATATACGCAATATCGCAAACATGGCGATATTATTATTTTTTCTTATTCTTCTATTAATGCTTTATTTATACGTCGGTTGAGCTAACAGAGGTGCATATATAATACAGAAAATAGTATATAAATATTTAATCATGTATACATGTGGTACGTGTATATATGATACCACGGACATCACTATGAATTATAAATTTCCCGCGGGTATATCCTCGAAAACTGTCAATAATCTCGAAATTCGCATATAATATCCGCGTATTAATTTTTAACGTCGCGGTAATCTTCCGTCGAAATCCGAAATGTGGTCTCACAGTCAAAAGCCGGAGGAAATTAAAGACGGAAATCGAAATTGAAAATTAACAGGATACAAGAAAACATTATTATTCAATCAGTCTAATAAGCTTCCAATGAGTTCCGCACCGACTCGTTATTTATTAATTAACTTAGAAAAACTGGTCAAGTCGTCGTCTTACCTCTGCCGTGTGTACGAAAGCAGGAGAGAATTTCGACCCTTCCCCCCTCGCCCCCCCCCCCTGATACGGATAGCGCGAATCCAGCCTAACTCGGAGCGAATTCGCGCGCGACCCAGTTGCAGCTACGCGATCGCGGTTGCAGATCGGGCGGGTCGCGACGATTGATCGCGTGCACCGGGCGGTGCATTATCGGGGCGCGTGTGGGCGCCTTCTCGCGTGGGAAAACCAGCGGCGTGCCGCATTTGCGTAACGGCGGCCGCGCCGCGTCGTAAAACCCGTCTCGTAAACCCGCCCGGCCGATATCTAATTGACGCGAGGGGGACGCGGCGAGGGTGAATTTCTTTCCTCGAAGGCGCGCCACCGCGCGCATTGCACGTGCGACTTTTATTAACTCTCGCCCCCCCCCCCCTTCTATCTCGTGTTGCAGGAGCGATGTCTTCCTGGAACCGTACCTGCAGCAGCACGGGACCGTTCAGGTCGTCAGCTCGCCGAGCACGCCGCCGCCGAATCCGCTGCAGCACCGTCAACTTGCGCAGCTACATCATGTACAGGTGAGTCGATCTCTCGCTCGAGCCCCGCCGGGCGAATAGGGGAAAAATTATTGGGAGGAGGGGGGGGGGAGGACAGGGCAAGAGAACAGGCGAATAATGAGGCGGACGATATCGCGTAAGCGACTGCGTAACGTCGTTTGTTCGCACAACGACACCCGCGTCGCAGCAATAATCAGGAGTGCGTGCGCGCACATCAAACAGCAACAGCAGCGAAATGTTGCTGCTGCGCTCGCTAATGATCGCCCGCGAATCGCTCCGCGAACGGAAATAGACCGTCGGGCTAATTGATGGCATTTGCATGCATACGGTAGTAACTGCGCGCCACACCGCAACGAAGTATCGAGTTTAATTAAGCGTTGCCGTAACGTGCAATTTAAATCGCGGCGAACGAGAGGGGGAGGGGGAGGGGGGCTGTATTAAATTTCGCGACGTCGCCCCTGGCCCCCGTCGCGACTCGTGAAAGTTTTTGTTTCTAGAATTACACCGGGACACCGACACGCGCGCAAACACGCACACGGCAACATAATAACGTCACGTGAAAGGTCGGTTTTGTCCGGCGACTCAAAGGGAAAATTGTAATTGCGGGCACGGAC